GGGGTTAATCCACATATTAAGTGCTATATGAATTCTCAAAAAATCAATCATAGGAAAATTAAAAATCTGCCCATGTACCATGAATATAAGTTTAGAAGACATATATATAAATTTGGAGTGTGGTTAGGTATTTTTAAACAACATGTAAAATATTAATTAGTATTTATCGGAAATTTTAGTTTTTTCGTAGGGGTTAACCCACATATTTCAAGAAAAAATATAAAAAATGGAATTTTTGTTTTAATGCATAGCTGCATCATACACCGACATAGTATGAAAATAAAATAGGTTTGGGACCTTAAATGTTTACGTTTCTCCAGAAAATATGATTTTTATAGGGGTTAATCCACATATTAAGAGCTATATGAATTCTCGAGAAATTAATCCTAGGAAAATTAAAATTCTGCCCATGTACCATAAATATAAGTTTAGAAAACATATATATAAATTTGGAGTGTGGTTCGGTATTTTTAAACAACACGTAAAATGCTAATTAGTATTTATCGGAAAATTCAGTTTTTTCGTAGGGGTTAACCCACATATTTCAAGAAAAATTATAAAAAATGGAAATTTTGTTTTAATGCATAGCTGCATCATACACCGGCATAGTATGAAAATTAAATAGGTTTGGGACCTTAAAGGTTTACGTTTCTCCAGAAAATAGGATTTTTATAGGGGTTAATCCACATATTAAGAGCTATATGAATTCTCTTGAAATTAATCATAGGAAAATTAAAAATCTGCCCGTGTACCATGAATATAAGTTTAGAAAACATATATATAAATTTGGAGTGTGGTTAGGTATTTTTAAACAACATGTAAAATACTAATTAGTATTTATCGGAAAACTCAGTTTTTTCGTAGGGGTTAACCCACATATTTCAAGATAAATTATAAAAAATGGAATTTTCGTTTTAATGCATAGCTGCATCATACATCGACATAGTATGAAAATTAAATAAGTTTGGGACCTTAGATGTTTCCGTTTCTCAAAAAATTATGATTTTTATAGGGGTTAATCCACATATTAAGTGCTATATGAATTTTCAAAAAATTAATCATAGGAAAATTAAAAATCTTCCCATGTACCATGATTATAAGTTTAGAAAACATATATATAAATTTGGAGTGTGGTTAGGTCTTTTTAAACAACACGTAAAATGCTAATTAGTATTTATCGGAAAATTCAATTTTTTCGTAGGGGTTAACCCACATATTTCAAGAAAAATTATTAAAAATGGAATTTTCGTTTTAATGCATAGCTGCATCATACACCGACATAGTATGAAAATTAAATAGGTTTGGGACCTTAGATGTTTCCGTTTCTCAAGAAAATATGATCTTTATAGGGGTTAATCCACATATTAAGTGCTATATGAATTTTCAAAAAATTAATCATAGGAAAATTAAAAATCTTCCCATGTACCATGATTATAAGTTTAGAAAACATATATATAAATTTGGAGTGTGGTTAAGTATTTTTAAACAAGACGTAAAATGCTAATTAGCATTTATCAGAAAATTCAGTTTTTTCGTAGGGGTTAACCCACATATTTCAAGAAAAATTATAAAAAATAGAATTTTCGTTTTAATGCATTTCTGCATCATACACCGACATAGTATGAAAATTAAATAGGTTTGGGACCTTAGATGTTTCCGTTTCTCTAGAAAATCTGATTTTTATAGGGGTTAATCCACATATTAAGTGATATATGAATTCTCCAAAAATCAATCATAGGAAAATTAAAAATCTGCCCATATACCCTGAATATAAGTTTAGAAAACATATATATAAATTTGGAGTGTGGTTGGGTATTTTTAAACAAAATGTAAAATATTAATTAGTATTTATCGGAAATTTCAGTTGTTTCGTTGGGGTTAACCCACATATTTCAAGAAAAATTATAAAAAATGGAATTTTTGTTTTAATGCATAGCTGCATCATACACCGACATATTATGAATATAAAATCGGTTTGGGACCTTAAATGTTTATGTTTCTCCAGAAAATAGGATTTTTATAGGGGTTAATCCACATATTAAGAGCTATATGAATTCTCGAGAAATTAATCCTAGGAAAATTAAAAATCTGCCCATGTACCATAAATATAAGTTTAGAAAACATATATATAAATTTGGAGTTTTGTTAGGTATTTTTAAACAACATGTAAAATGCTAATTAGTATTTATCGGAAAATTTAGTTTTTTCGTAGGGGTTAACCCACATATTTCAAAAAAAATTATAAAAAATGGAATTTTTGTTTTAATGCATAGCTGCATCATACACCGGCATAGTATGAAAATTAAATAGGTTTGGGACCTTAAATGTTTACGTTTCTACAGAAAATAGGATTTTTATAGGGGTTAATCCACATATTAAGAGCTATATGAATTCTCTTGAAATTAATCCTAGGAAAATTAAAAATCTGCCATGTACCATGAATATAAGTTTAGAAAACATATATATAAATTTGGAGTGTGGTTAGGTATTTTTAAACAATACGTAAAATGCTAATTAGCATTTATCGGAAAATTCAGTTTTTTCGTAGGGGTTAACCCACATATTTCAAGAAAAATTATAAAAATGGAATTTTTGTTTTAATGCATAGCTGCATCATACACCGACATAGTATGAAAATTAAATAGGTTTGGGACCTTAAATGTTTCCGTTTCTCAAGAAAATAGGATTTTTATAAGGGTTAATCCACATATTAAGTGCAATATGAATTCTCAAAAATTTAATCATAAGAAAATTAAAAATCTGCCCATGTACCATGATTATAAGTTTAGAAAACATATATATAAATTTGGAGTGTGGTTAGGTCTTTTTAAACAACACGTAAAATGCTAATTAGCATTTATCGGAAAATTTAGTTTTTTCGTAGGGGTTAATCCACATATTTCAAGAAAAATTATAAAAAAAAAGAAAAATGCATAGCTGCATCATACACCGACATATTATGAAAATTAAATAGGTTTGGGACCTTAAATGTTTACGTTTCTCCAGAAAATAAGATTTTTATAGGGGTTGTTAATCCACATATTAAGAGATATATGAATTCTCTAGAAATTTATCCTAGAAAAATTAAAAATCTGCCCATGTACCATGAATATAAGTTTAGAAAACATATATATAAATTTGAAGTGTGGTTGAGTATTTTTAAACAAAATGTAAAATATTAATTAGTATTTATCGGAAATTTCAGTTTTTTCGTAGGGGTTAACCCACATATTTCACGAAAAATTATAAAAAATGGAATTTTTGTTTTAATGCATAGCTGCATCATACACCGACATATTATGAAAATAAAATCGGTTTGGGACCTTAAATGTTTATGTTTCTCCAGAAAATAGGATTTTTATAGGGGTTAATCCACATATTAAGAGCTATATGAATTCTCGAGAAATTAATCCTAGGAAAATTAAAAATCTGCCCANATAGGATTTTTATAGGGGTTAATCCACATATTAAGAGCTATATGAATTCTCGAGAAATTAATCCTAGGAAAATTAAAAATCTGCCCATGTACCATAAATATAAGTTTAGAAAACATATATATAAATTTGGAGTGTGGTTAGGTATTTTTAAACAACATGTAAAATGCTAATTAGTATTTATCGGAAAATTCAGTTTTTTCGTAGGGGTTAACCCACATATTTCATGAAAAATTATAAAAAATGGAATTTTTGTTTTAATGTATAGCTGCATCATATACCGGCATAGTATGAAAATAAAATAGGTTTGAGACCTTAAATGTTTATGTTTCTCCAGAAAATAGGATTTTTATAAGGGTTAATCCACATATTAAGAGCTATATGAATTCTCTTGTAATTAATCCTAGGAAAATTAAAAATTTACCCATGTACCATGAATATAAGTTTAGAAAACATATATTTAAATTTGGAGTGTGGTTAGGTATTTTTAAACAACATATAAAATATTAATTAGTATTTATCGGAAATTTCAGTTTTTTCGTAGGGGTTAACCCACATATTTCAAGATAAATTATAAAAAATGGAATTTTCGTTTTAATGCATAGCTGCATCATACACCGACATAGTATGAAAATTAAATAGGTTGGGGACCTTTATGTTTCCGTTTCTCAATAAAATATGATTTTTATGGGGGTTAATCCACATATTAAGTGCTATATGAATTCTCAAAAAGTTAATCATAGGAAAATTAAAAATCTGCCCATGTACCATGATTATAAGTTTAGAAAACATATATATAATTTTGGAGTGTAGTTAGATATTTTTAAACAATACGTAAAATGCTAAGTAGCATTTATCGGAAAATTCAGTTTTTCGTAGGGGTGTTAACCCATATATTTCAAGAAAAATTATAAAAATTGAATTTTTGTTTTAATGCATAGCTGCATCATACACCGACATAGTATGAAAAATAAATAGGTTTGGGACCTTAAATGTTTCCGTTTTTCCAGAAATTATGATTTTTATAGTGGTTAATCCACATATTAAGTGCTATATGAATTCTCGAGAAATTAATCATAGGAAAATTATAAATCTGCCCATGTACCATGAATATAAGTTTAGAAAACATATATATAAATTTGGAGTGTGGTTAGATATTTTGAAAAACACGTAAAATGCTAATTAGTATTTAACGGAAATTTTAGTTTTTCGTAGGGTTTTTTAACCCACATATTTCAAAAAAAATTATAAAAAATAGACTTTTTGTTTTAATGCATAGCTGCATCATACAGCGACATAGTATGAAAATTAAATAGGATTGAGAACTTAAATGTTTCATTTTCTCCAGAAAATAGAATTTTTATCGGGGTTAATCCACATATTAAGAACTATATGAATTCTCTAGAAATTAATCATAGGAAAATTAAAAATCTGCCCATGTACCATGAATATAAGTTTAGAAAACACATATATAAAGAATATAAGTTTAGAAAACACATATATAAGTTTTAATGCATAGCTGCATCATACAGCGACATAGTATGAAAATTAAATAGGATTGAGAATTTAAATGTTTCCGTTTCTCCAGAAAATAGAATTTTTATCGGGGTTAATCCACATATTAAGAACTATATGAATTCTCTAGAAATTAATCATAGGAAAATTACAAATCTGCCCATGTACCATGAATATAAGTTTAGAAAACACATATATAATGCAGCTACCGCGAGCCCCGGCCGCGAGCCCCCGATCGCGAGCCCCGATCGCGAGCCCCGATCGCGAGCCCCGATCGCGAGCCCAGATCGCGAGCCCCAGCCGCGAGCCCCAGCCGCGAGCCCCAGCCGCGAGCCCCAGCCGCGAGCCCCAGCCGCGAGCCCCGAGCCCCAACCGCGAGCCCCGACCGCGAGCCCTGACCGTGAGCCCTGACCGCGACCGCGAGCCCCGACCGCGAGCCCCAACCACAAGCCCCGACCGCGAGCCCCGACCGCGAGCCCCGACCGCGGGGCGACCGACCGCGGGGCGACCGCGAGCCCCAACCAGAAGCCCCGACCGCGAGCCCCGACCGCGAGCCCCGACCGCGGGGCGACCGACCGCGGGACACACCCCGAGCCCCGCCCGCGAGCCCCGACCGCGAGCGAGCCCCGGCAAAGCGAGCCCCAGCGAGCGAGCCCCGGCCGGGAGCGAGCCCCGACCCCCGACCGCGAGCCCCGACTGAGCCCCAGCCGCGAGCCCCGGCCGCGAGCGAGCTCCGACCACGTGCGAGCCCCGAGCCCCGACCGCGAGCCCCGACCGCGAGCCCCAACCGCGAGCCCCGACCGCGAGCCCCGACCGCGAGCCCCCGGCCGTGAGCCCCCGGCCGTGAGCCCCCGGCCGCGAGCCCCCGGCCGCGAGCCCCCGGCCGCGAGCCCCGGCCGCGAGCCCCGGCCGCGAGCCCCGGCCGCGAGCCCCGGCCGCGAGCCCCCGGCCGCGAGCCCCGAGTCCCGGCCGCGAGCCCCGGCCGCGAGCCCCGGCCGCGAGCCCCGGCCGCGAGCCCCGGCCGCGAGCCCCGGCCGCGAGCCCCGGCCGCGAGCCCCGGCCGCGAGCCCCGGCCGCGAGCCCCGGCCGCGAGCCCCGGCCGCGAGCCCCGGCCGCGAGCCCCGGCCGCGAGCCCCGGCCGCGAGCCCCGGCCGCCGCAAGCCCTGGCCGCGAGCCCTGGCCGCGAGCCCTGACCGCGACCGCGAGCCCCGGCCGCGAGCGGGCCGCGAGCGGGCCGCGAGCCCCCGGCCGCGAGGGGCCCGCGACCGCGGCCGCCCGGCCGAGAGCCCCGGCCGCGAACCCCGGCCGCGAACCCCGGCTGCGAACCCCGGCCGCGAACCCCGGCCGCGAACCCCGGCCGCGAGCCCCGGCCGCGAACCCCGGCCGCGAGCCCTGACCGCGAGCCCCGACCGCGAGCCCCGGCCGCGGGCCCCGCGAGCCCCGGCCGCGAGCTCCCGGCCGCGGGCCCCGGCCGCGGGCCCCGCGTCCCCGGCAGCGGGCCCACCCTCTCTCTCCTCCTCTCTCTCTCTCCTCATGTCTCTCTCCTCCCCCTCTCTCTCCTCCTCTCTCTCTCCTCCCCCTCTCTCTCTCCCTCTCTCCTCCGGATTCATCTTAAATCTCATATGAAACAAAAAAAAAAACAGATTCATCAAAACATAATCATTTTAAACAGATTCATCAAAACATAATCATCACAAGGTTTCGAACGTCACCTAGGATTTTTGGCTGCGTCGTTTTTGCTCTGGATCTTTATACCTTCAGCGAGCAACAGGAAACACGCCCCTATTTTCACAGAATCATCCATAAGAAACCAAAACTAAGATCCGTTCTTCAGATTCCTACAATAACGAGAGAAAGTTCGAATCAAGAATAATTTACAAAAAAAAAAAACAAACAGAAGCCATAGCTAGAATTCATTCATAAATACAGAGGAGTAATATTAGATCCATCATATAGAAAGCAAAGAAACATAACTCTGTGACTCATGTTTGTTCTTCTCGTCACTATAATCGCTAACTCTCTATCACAGATTTTTTTTTTGAACACACTCTCTACTACAGATTCTTAGTTATTCTTTCTTTGGTTTTCTGTTTGGTAATAAAAGAGCTGTGTCTGTAAGAGATTTAATTGTCTTTTATAAAGAGGAGGATGTGCCTCCAACGGTTCTATTACAACGGTCATATTTTTGTAGCCGTTGGATGAATATAATTCTCATGCATAAAACACGTGTCGTTGGATTTGTTTAAAGTCTTTTTGGGTCAAATACGCGACGATTTTTTAAAATCAGCTAATATTTCAAATATATATATATATATATATATATATATACATATATTCAATATGGATGCAGTGGATAGCAGCATATCGTGATCTAATCTCATATATTTGAAAATTAACTAAAATAATCATATATATATTAGGGTCGGCCCGAGTTAGGCCAAATTTTTTTATTTAATTATATATGTTGTATGTTATTTTGACATATAAATATTATAAAATATAAATAGTTAGTCAACTATATAATTATTTTTTATTATATATTGTTTTTTGTCTTTCGAATTTCAAATATTTTTATATCCAAATTTTGTATGTCATAGATTATCAGTATGTGTTTTGCGTAAAATTGTTGTATATTGTGTCATAGATTATTGTCTTCGGTTTGATGAAACGTAAAGGAAAACAATATGATAATAGATTTTTCGTCCTTCCAAACTTATAGACTTCTTTATTTATTTTAAATATGTTTAAGTATTCTGTAACTTTTACTTAACTAGTAAATTTTTATTAAACTTTTACTTAACTCTAATGGTATTATGTGCTAATTTTCTCCAACTTATTCTTAAAAACTATCAATCAAGTGAAAAGATATTTACTCTCATTTATATTTTTTTATTATTGTTTCAAAAGAGATAAACGCACACTCATCATTGTGCTAGATATAATGAACGTAACAATATTTTCTCATTTTTCTTCTCTTTTCCATTTTATTTTTTCTGATTCTATTTGTCCGAAAAACCTATGAGATCTTAGCGGCCACTAAAATGGTGTTATGACGTGAAAAAATCTGAGGCGGGATGATGTTAAGCTAATGACATATATTTAGTTATTTTATTAATAACATTAAATTTTACTATTTATATTTTGTTATTTTATTATAAAATTAATTTCTAACATTTGTCAATGTTAATAAAATAAAATATCTATGAATATAAATTATGGATTATTTTCAGTCTTATACATTTTTTTAATTCATGGATACTATAACTTTTTTAAAAAGAATTATCTCAAAATAAAAAGATTCATACTTCTTAAAAAGAATTGATAAATGCATTCAACATTAATTTTTTTGTGTAAGAATAATTTTGCATATCATTTGTCACTTTTTTTCTTATCCTATTTAGTGATATGACATCACCTTGAAAGATAAAACTTAATTTTATATAATAAGGCATTTACTAATTTCAGTTATTTAATATATATATATTTATTTATTTATTTTATAATAAAGAACAGGATAAATAATAATATATATATACAATTTTTATTCTGAACACGGATCTTAACCTGGCAGATATATACATGAAATGCAATTCTAAATGTGTTAACAATTTGCTCCTTATAACATCTCACGGTTATTTCAGCCACAAAAAAAACATCTCACGGTTATGCGAATTATGTTAGGTACCCACCGTATTCATATTTAAAATTTCTTAACACTAAACATATGGTCAACCACCAATGATAAATGATGGTTGACAGCCTTTAACCACTATTGAACATGCATACGCGTGATACCATGATGTATAATATACTATAAGTGTATGTTAAGATTTTGGTAATCACCAGTGACACATCACGATGGTTAATTCCAGCATTACAAATCGGTTCGGATTAGATATTAAGTAGCTTAATAATTTGATGATATTTTAGCAGTATTTTAATTCCAGTAACACAAATGGGTCATTTGCGCGATTTATATATCATAACCTATTTAACTTCATGTTATTAACGAACTTATGCATACACCTTATCTCAAATTTAGAATATTAAAATGCTTAGACTTCGTCAATTTGGAAGATTACAACAACTTTAAGAACGAGAGTAACATATCGATGCACTATGTCCAAGAGTCTTATCCCATTTTCTCATTTCTTTTAGATCTTATCTTACTCATACATTTAATCAAACCGTGGGTCCCTTATTTTGACATCTTCAAGAATAATGCATACTAGGTGATTTTCCCGTGCTCATGCACGGGTATAAATATTCATAAAAGTAAAATTTTATAATAATTGATTTATATTTAATTTTAGTTTAAATCAATTTATATGTATAATTTATATTAATAAATATTATATTATTATAATTATACATATGACTTAATTTGGATATATTATTGTCAGTTTAATTATTTTTGGATCAATAGTCGGTTTGGTTATCAATTTGGTATATTGTAGGTATAATTTGTATTAATAATGTTATATTAATTTAATTATATATATAATTTTAGGTATGTTATATTTCATCAGTTTTATTGTTTTTACGGTTGATTTAGTTATCTTTTGGATATATTAGATTCTATTGATTTTTCTAAATTCAACTATAATCTTTTTTATCCTCAATATATTAAATTTTTGATTAATCGTCTTATTTGCATTTATGCCGGTTGTTATTTTAAAAATATAAGTATATCTAGTAAGAGTATGTATAACTTAAGATTTCTATGCCTAGAAAGAAAAAAAATAGAAACTAAATTGTCTGATTCTAAATTACATACATGCGTAACTAATAAATTTTTGGAAGCTTATGAACACATATCAATATTTAAAATATTTAGATTGATTGGATGGTAAACAGAAATTTATTTTAAATAATTTTAAAATAAAGATTCTAATTTGCTTAAGTATTTTGATTATGGTTATATTAAGTTCCACAGACATAAAAACAGAAAATAAAAAATCCAAAGAATTATTAAGCAAACATATAAATCTAACTATTAAAATGAAATATATATACTTTGTTAAATTATATAGTGTTATGATGTTTTAAAATAATTGTAGTTATTTGATCAAAAAATGCTTATTATTAAAATTTATTTTTAGTTTTGTTTTTAATATCTCTTAAAATATGCAGTAAAAAAATTTATTGTTTTTGAAAATTATATTATATAAGTAAAATAGAATTTATATTTTTTTGCTGTAATTGTAAGATATTATAGTCAAATAAATATACTAAAAATAAAATAAAATATTTCAAGAATATTAATTGTAATTTTTTTTGTCAATTAAACATACATTAGTTTATCTTACTTAATTATTTTATGTAATCATCTAATAAAATAGATAGATATATACAAAAATAATAATTACTTTGAAAATATATATATTTATTGTTTAAAATTATTTTTTTTAAAGAAAAAATATTTCTTTTTCTAATATCAAGATTAGTTGTGTGAATTTTTTATGGAATCACATTATATACAATTTTTTTTCATCTAAGAATATATAGATATAAAGTATTTTATTACTTCAAAAGTATATTTTATGTTATTTAAAATATATTTAAATTAAATATTACTATTTTGTGAACTTTACTTTTTTATGAAACCATATTTATATATACTTATATTTTTGTTTTTAAATAGATTTGTAAACTTTATAAATGTTTCCTTTTTATTTTATATTGTTATTTGGAAAATTTTTAAAAGGAAATAATAATATTTAAATTTATTTTTTAAATTTATTAAGGGTATCATAGTAATCAACCAGTGTGAGAGTTAATGTGAATGCGACACGTAAGAAAGTGACTTCTCAAATAATATTATAGAGATCTCCTTTTTAATCAGAAACAAAAATGTTTTCTGCATTGATTTAGTTCTTTGTTTAATATTTTGATAAAGGTTTCCTACATAAAAAGTACATAAAACTATAAATGTGAATTACTTGATATGTGAGTATAAACTTCCAACTCAAATCAGCTGAGAATGCATAAGATAGTAAATATCATTCGTATATTAGATTATGTTATTTCTTACATTACCAATGAATACATGTGTACTGTTTGCATCTAATTGGGATTGATAACCTTATTGTTTAACTTTTAATCAAAGTGGTACCAAAATCACAAGTTGATAAACTGGATTGAATATAAGAATAAAAATGAACAATAACCTAATTAAAGTGATTATACCACTGAGCATACTTGTGTCTGAATGGAGATGCGTGTACAGCATTTACGGTCTCCTGTATGTTTTTTTTGGGCACAAAGGATTACATTAATAAAACACTTAAGTGGTACATGGGCTCCTGTTCTGTGTGTATTTTATCATGACAAAAGGAGATGCGTGTACAACATGTACTTTCATGTATGGGCAAACACACAAATGTATACTATCTTTAGGGTTTTTTAAATAAAGAAGGGGTCATATATTATTATCTTTAATTGCCCAATAGTCGAGTGCTAATGTGCCATGCCGATAGAAATTGTTCGTTTTCATGAGAAAAATAAAGATACAAAACTAATAAATTAGGGAAGATGCATGTTCGTACGATCTCGTATGTCAAAGTACAGCATGGCCTTAGTTGAATGTCACATATTATAGTTTTAGTTTCGATACTTTAATAAATATCATATGATTATTTATAGTTTATGGTATACGGAATGCAACATTTATTTATTTTTCATAATAACTAATCTAGATCAAGTATTATCGCAAAAGACGACGGCATGGTCCAAGCAAATCATTAACAATGCCTATTCATGCTTTCAGAAAAAAAGAAAAACAATACCTATTCATCCATATATATATATATATATATACATATACAAAAAAACACATATAGTGGACCTACGTTTATGACTGTGTATATATACACGTACGAAACTAGTACCTCTCTACATTTCATCTCACACTAACCTCCAAAAAAAACGTCCATCTCTCTCTCTCTACATCTCTCATAATCATAATCATGATAAAGAAGAGCAAGCTGATCACAACAGCATGGAAGCAAATGTCTAGCAGAGTAACCAAACATCGGGAGAAACCTCATATACCACATGACGTACCAAAGGGACACTTGGTGGTGTACGTAGGCAAAGAAGAGGAGAGTTACAAGAGGTTCGTGATCAAGATCACGTTGCTTCACGATCCCACCATCAGGGCTTTGCTTGATCAAGCAAAAGAGGAAGTTTACGATGATTTCACTTCCGGAGATTCTAAGCTCTGTATTCCTTGCGAAGAAACTCTCTTCCTCGAGGTCCTCCGTTGCGCTTCTCCCCGTTAGTCTTGACTCTTGATCTTTATGAGTCTCTAATTCGATAAGAGGTTTCTAATGGTTTAGGTTTGTGGCTAATGTAACGAGTTCCTCTTGAGATCTATGTAGAGAGCTTATGCAGACGTTTTGTAATATGAGCCATTTTTAGTAAGTAGCTGCTATAAAGCCTTATTGATTGCATTGCATCAACATATCTTACTTTATATTAAGAAGCAAGACTGTATGTTTTTTTTTCCTCAATCGCTATGTAGTAATAATGATATTTAAGTAACAATGATTATGATAATAAAAGGTGATAAAACAAAAATAAATCCAAAAAACACTCGGGAAATAATCGTTGAGAGTATGTTGAATCAAAGATGCTTAATTTTTATTTGGAAGATATCACAAAGCAGAGAATTGCACTGTATTGATTTAGTTGAAGTCGGGCTTCTCAGGGTAAGTGCAGCCAGATCTTTGGATCACCACGTTTGACGCGTAGCATCCAGCCTTCACGCACTCCTCAATTGATTTCTCTTTCACCAATTGTGACATGAATCCTCCCACAAATGCATCACCTGCCAGAGATGTGTCAACAGATAACGGTTAAGTTGCTTGAAATGATAAGGATGCCGCTTATTATATGGTCATATCAGTTTCTTTTTTTTTTCTTTTTTTTTGGTCAAAGGTCATATCTAGTGAAACTAAGCCTATATTTGAATGTTGAAAGTTTAGCTATTGAATGAGTACCTGCACCGTTGGTGTCAACAAGCTTCTCCTTTGGGAGAGGGATCACAGGGTATTTGGTCACCTTTCCATCTTCGGCAACAACCACTGGGTCTGCTCCCTGTGTAATCACAGTGGTCCTCTTGTATGTTCCTGTGGCCTTGGGGAGCTGTGAAATCTTGATGGCTATTTGTTCCACATCTTCTGTCTATATATATATTAAACATGTAAAAAGGTTAAGTATTATCTCTGTAATACAAAACAGAAGCAGCTTGTTAAAATTTAGTCGTGTAAGAGAAATGGTACCTCCCAGCCATGAACCTTGGAGAAGGTTCTTGCCTCTGTCTCATTGCCAAAAACAAAGTCCATGTATCTGTCCAAGCAAGGCAGGGTGCTTTTAAGTACATTTACGCAATCATAAACTCTTTAATACAGTATATAAAAAATGAGTAGGTATTTCTTACGGCAAGAATTTCTCCTGCGCATCTTTGAAGAATTCACAGATGAATGGAGCAGAGAGGTTCATTGTGAACACCTGAAAGATTGGTGAAAAGGTCGAGGATATTAATACAATAACTAAAAGATTCTGGTGAAACAGGATGGAAGGGATGACGAAATGTCTTATACCTTGTTGTTAGCAGCAGCGTGCTCAGATACCAACTGAATGGATTCGGGGGACACTGTGAGGAAGAATCCAGCAATGTAGTAGAACTTGGCCTTCTCAACTACCCCAAACATGTTTAATGATGACAGATATATCAGCTCATGAAAAGATAAAAACAGATTTGTTAAAAGATGCTATGACAGGAGATAAGTCTTACCCAAAGCCCAGTTTTCAGGCTTCTTAAGGTGCTCAACCTTGTAGCAGTTAGCAGCAGAAAGATTCGCAATAAGCGACCTCTCTCCACCAACAACACAGACACCGCAAGTTCCAGTAGGTGCTGTCTCATCTTCATAGTAGTGAACCTGATACAAAAAGCATATTGTCATGTTAATGTTAATACACCTCGATTATTAGTAATTCAGTTTCAAAAACTATCCCCAAAGACAAACTGAAAACCTGCAGAACAATAGACTCAACATGAAACCAGAAAAGATCAGGACAGAGGGCTTACATTGACACCAGCACCAGTAGCATCCTTCTTCATAGCCTCACCGTATTTGTCCTTTCCAATGGAACCCATGTAGCTGGTAGCCCCAGGAATTTGAAGCATCCACTGAAGCCATCAAATAAAAAAGAAAACCCTTAAGTTAGCAGTTATTCATAGATTTTAAACCCCAAAAGAAAGCGGAGGAAGAGGGCGGGCAGAAGAATGTACCTGAGCCACTTTGATTGAGTTCTGAGTGGCACCTGAAAAAAGGTAAATATAAACGAATCAGCGTTTACAGTTTCAAAAGGATCCTCGGGAAAAGAGAAAGCAGAAAAGAGATGGAAATACCTCCGGCAATGTATTCAACATTGAACTTGCTACTCATCTCATCATACCTATAAAACAACAAAAATTGCATTGGTCAAGTGAGCTCATGTATAATAATAATAACCAATCAACTATGTATTTAACAACAAATTTAAATTCAGAGTTTAGAAAGGGTAGCCATAACAGATTAAAACAAAAGGTATCCATTTGTTTTTTTTTCTGAAACAGTCCACAAACATTGTCAATTTATATAATAACATGAATCAACAATATTGATTACAATAAACTAATTTAATCAATCAATCAACAACAAGGAATCATCCCTTTTCAATCCATAAAAGTTGACTAACGAAACCAAAGCAAAGTCCAATACAGGATTTGTAGCAGTTCCATTCATGAAAACAAAGTTTCAAATTCAAAATACCAATCGCAGAGCAAAAGGAAATGCTTACATAGGCAAATGTTTTTCCTCGGCGAGAATCGCATTGTTCAACTTGACGTCATATCTGCAAAGTCACCATCATTACGAGAGAACACAAACATTAAACGAGAAAAAAAAACGCAAATCTTAGAGCTAAAAGTATCGGATAAGATTTAAAACAATCAAATCTAGATCCAAACCAAACAAAAATATGGATCTGAGGTGTATATTTTACTTGGTGAGAAATTCCTCGTCGACGACGGCAGAGATATCGAGGAGAGGGTTTCCCATTCCGAGGAGGATTCCATCGTAGTTAGAGGGAGCCATTATGATGAATCTGAGAAGACAAGTTTGGATTCAGATCTGATGAGGAAGGCAAGTTTTTAGTGGAGAGTGAAGCCGTTTGAGTTCCTTTATAATCAAAGAGCTCGGCGGAAGTTGGTACACCTACGACATTTTCTCCCTTTTTTAGGTTTCTTTTTTTCAATTAATTAATTACTAATCGTACATGTTTATTTTGTCGGCAGGCTTGGTGGGCCGTGTAGTTTACGCCATTTCATTTAATTTCAGTCCAAAATTTCCACAAATATCTTTCAGTACACAAACATAATTCTTACAAAAACCAATCATAAGTTTTCGCTCTTTTCTCCAAAGAAAGTGGTGTGAAATGCAAAGGCAAACAATATTACGAAAATAAATATTTAACAACATTTGTTCTCCAACTGTTTGTAGTTGATCAGTAGAGTAACAAACAAAGAGAGGAAGTTTGTAAATCATACAAGCAATAAAACAAAACTCCCGTCAGAAAACTCATTTTTCCTGTGTTATGAATCTTGCCTTACGGCAGCAGAAGCAGAGAATTTTAAAAACACTGTGTTGGAGGCAAAAGAAACAATGAACCTTCCAAAGGTCAATTTAAACTTCATCAAGAGAGAAAGCCAATGTCTCTTTTTTTTTTATTCTAATCGTAATCGAGGAAGGAAAGATTCGATAAAGAATTTGAGTTTTTTTTTTTACGATTTGTTCAGAGATGGTCACAGATTGCCTTTGTGAAATCCGTTGTGGTCGATGAACCTCCAAGATCCGCCGTTCTGTATTTTCCCTCAGCTATCGTGTTGATGATTGCTTTGTGGATCTGTTCGGCTTGTTCGTTTAGCTTCAGGTGACGCAACATCATCACTCCACTCAGTAGCAATGCTGTTGGGTTCGCCAGGTTCTATACATCACCAAGATAACAAGAACAACAAATTAAACACTCACAAAACAATCGTATACAAAAGCCATTCGAAATCAAGTTCATAATGAAACTATGCTACTAACTTGATCAGCTTTCAAACCACAAGAGTTGATGGAAGTTAATTGCTTTTGTAGCAGTGATACTATCCGAGGAAAATGATATACAGATTGTTTACCTTTCCAGCGATGTCAGGTGCAGAACCATGAACTGCTTCAGCTAGGGCTACACCATCTTCCCCGATATTACAACTGCGTCAAATATAAAAAGGCAGTTCAACTGATTTAGCTCAGAATCATACTAACAACTACTACTCAAGATGAAGGAACAAATGTTTCACCTTGGAGTCAATCCTAGTCCTCCGACCAATCCAGCACACAAGTCGCTGATAATGTCACCGTAAAGATTTGGCATCACCAATACATCAAACAGTGCTGGGTTTTTCACAAGCTGCACGCATCTCAAGTACATCATTCACATACTCCACACAAAATAATAATAGAAAGTTTTCCCCAAAGTAAAAACAATGGTAAGTTATGTCGTAGCTTACCATCATACAGCAGTTGTCAATAACAACCTCCTCATAAGTTATCTCAGGATACTTCTCAGCAACCTCACGACAACACTGAAAAACACAAATGAAACATTGTGTCAGAAGTCAGAACAAACAGTAACAAGAATAAGCAGACACTAGCAATCATTGTTTTGATCTCATTTTAAGAAAATGTTCATTGCACTATGGGTTTATGAAAAGTGACAAACCTTGAGGAAAAGACCATCAGTTTTCTGCATAATGTTGGCTTTGTGAATAGCAGAAACCCTCTCTCTTCCATGAGTCTTAGCATAGTGAAAAGCATACTCCGCAACTCTCAAACTCGCCTGACGTGTAATGATCTTAAGACTCTCCACCACACCTCTAACAACCTACAAACACAACTCCAAAAAATCAGAAAAACACACTTACAAAAACAAACCAGAATATCTCCCCAAAAAAAAAAAAAAAAAACTAAAAACCTGATGTTCAAGCCCACTGTATTCTCCTTCAGTGTTTTCCCTAATCGTAATGAGATTAACATCATCATAACGAGTCTTGTAACCAGGAAGACTGTAACAAGGCCTAACATTGGCGTATAGATTCAGCTCTTTCCTAAGAGTCAGATTCAAAGAACGGTGACCTTTCCCGATCGGAGTCGCCATTGGACCTTTCAAACCAACTTTGTTTCTACGCACAGATTCGAGACTCTCCCATGTCAAGAAACTCTGCGTTCTCGGATCTATCTCAGTGCTAACGTAATGTTCTTCCCAATTAATCGGCACACCAGCCGTTGTAAACACCTATAAAGATATCAATTCCCACAATTAGGTCTAAAATCATCAACGATTAAAAAAATAGATTAGGATGAGAAATACCTTTTTGACGGATTCAGCGATCTCAGGACCGATCCCATCGCCAGGGAACAAGGTTGCGGTGATTGGAGTGGTTGAGGAGGAGCAGAAAGCCCTAGCGACGGAAGTGGCTGAACCTGAGCTAGAGTTCACAGTTCCGAGGATCTGGCTTGATCGGGATCCGATCAGGCGTTTCGCGAGGTGTGCGGCCATGGTCATCTCTTCGAGCACCAAAAGGACGCAAAGCACAAAGAAATGATTCGAGAGGGAGACTTTCTGCGTTGGGACTAAAGTTTTTGGAAGACTTTTCTTTTTAGCGAATATTATTAAAAGGACTGAACTAAAACGGCATGAAGTAACTACACTGAAATACAAAAGGGAACGAAGTGTCTTCTTGAAAACCTAGGCCCAATAAAGAGTGTAGATCGGCCCAATAATAAGTGTAATACTTCATTGCATCTTATTCAACAAAATACAAGTTTACGTCATATTACATCATTGTGACACTGACACACTGTTCGCTAGCTAAACCGCTGGTGGCTTTTCTATAGCATATTGCGGCGGGGCAGGTGCCGGCATACTAGCCAACGGTGGTCCGTAGTGAAGCTGCGACATACCTTCTCGCCGGCCGATTTTTCTTCCGATGAGATAAAAGGCGATCGCGACGATCAAAAGGAGAAGGATCGCTGAAAACGATATGTAGATCACAAACGCCATTAGCTGGTTGCTTTTCCTTCGAACTTGAAAGATTTAAGGAACAAGAGAAGACGATTCAAGAAGATAATTGCCTCATGAGGACACGTGGAGGATGCGTCAGCCACTCACTGGTTAAGGAGATGTTAACCATTCAAACCAACGAACTAGTTTTACGATTCGGGAACAAATTACACAAACCGGATTTGGTTTGTAGCTCTATGGTCCAATATGATATGTATATAACATAACATTACAACCAAATTAACAAGAAGAAAAAAAAAGAAAGTTCTGAAGCAACAAAAATCCATTTTTTTCCTTAATACACAATAACGAAGCAGAGGTTTTGCTTTTTTTCGGCTTCCTCTAAACATCTCTTTTGATCATCATGTCATGAGATTCAAATGGTCTTCTTTCAACCCATTGATCCGTACACAGAAGCTGCTGCATTCAGGTTCTTTCTCGAACCAGGTCCATCCTGATTCATACCGGTTGGTTTATTCGATAACCGACGCTTATACCGCTTCAGTACAGAAGCCAAATTCTCTTTCCCCTTTGGGAAAGCCACGTCTCCAGCAGCTGTACCGGTCCGGCCTTTCCTACAAGAGATTGATATTTCAACGTCTTTGATTAGTTCAAGAAGTGTGACTGCTGTTGTGCATTTGCCTTTGGCTGGTCTTGCAGCCGGAGGTAACATTCCGTTTGAAGCTGAAGGCGGACTCGCTCTCTGGTGGCTCGCAGGAATCTGAAGGCAGAAGCACGGTGTCATCGGTGTCCGCAGCTTTGAGAACGCCGGGTCTATAACTCCCTGTTGAATCAAAATTTTTAATCAAGCTTGCGGTTTAAGTGAAGAAGAGAGAGTGTGTGGTTTTGTTTTTACCTGAAGGCGGTTGAGAACGTAAGTGTATTTTCCCCAGAGCTCAGGACGACTCTCCATGAGAGACAGGTCAAGGACACGGTGAATGCACCAAACACCAAAGCTCACAATCAAATCAGCTCTCCAAACGCAACCATCTCCACAGTTAGGAACTGATGAAACCTGAGGCTCGCCCATGTGACCCACTTGGTTTGCTTCTCGCGTTTCTGCTTCATAGATAAACTTTTCTCTTGCAGCTACTTTGTCAATCAGTTCTTCATCGACTCCATCGCTTTGCCCAAACAACCATTCTGATCCTTCCAGTTTAATAAGCTTTAGTATACAGTTCCTGAACGACTGAAGAAGCTTAGCCTCTGCATCCACAGTGGATGCGTTGTTGTTGTCTATATTTATCGGATTTGATCTATTTCTTACTTCTTCACCAACAGCGCCGTTCCTCTCTGCTACACCAAACTGCTCAAAGGGCTGTCTGGACCAAAGCGATCCAGTCCCTGTTGTTGCACTCTGTGGTGAAGCATAGGCATCTCTGTAGCCTCCTCTTGACTGAGAGATGGTTTCATAACCCGAGGTTACTCCAACCCTTGACCCCAAATTAGAATATAATGATGATGATTCATTGCTTAACCGAACATACGAAGCGCTATACCCTGTTCCTCCTCCAGTTGATGCCGCATCCCAGTATCCACTCTTGTTGTTTGGTGAATGCATGTTCCTTGCTGACATAGACAATCCAGATATATCTGGCATGCTACTATACTTCTTCTCATTAGCAACTACGGCGTTTACAGAATCGGTATTTCCAGAAGATGGAACACCGTAGTAAGATCTTTCAGATTGTCTCGATATGTTTCTAGACCCAGCAAAGTTCTCAAACCCAGGAGCTGGTCCAGGGGTTAGACCATTCTGGGACTTCTGTTTTAAGGCTAAAGCCAGTTGCTGTGTATAGCTCAATGAACCCAGGGCCATAGGTCGAGATGTTGGGATCTCTCCTCGGGACTGTAAAGCTTCAAGCCTTTCTTTTGCCAAACTGTCAACATAGGACTTAATCTGGTATCCATGAATCGTAGCTGGTTGTTGGTGTTCCCGACTCTCTGAAGATGATGGAGCACGCAGGCTAGAGTACCTTCTCTCACTCAATTCATAAGCATTATTATTGGCAGTGTTACCGTATGCAGACATCATCTGCATACGGTTGACCAACGGTGATGACGATGGTGATGAACCTCTTTGTAGTCCATATAAAGAATCGATACTTCCAGGTGTCCTCTGCTGCTGTTTCATTGAATCATACAAACTCGAATTCATCTGTGATTCCAATCCCTTTGCTGTTGGTGACATGCAATATCCACTGCTAGTGTCCCTTACAAAAGAGTCCACTTTCACAGGCGAGGGTGACTTTTGATCAGCGCCAAACAACTGATCTAGTTTCTTTGCCCTGGCTTCAGCAACTAATTGCCCATGAAAATCATATAAATGTCCCCAAAACTCATCAAGAATCGCAGACAAGTGTCGTCGAGCAGCACGACCTAAACCTTGCAACCGGGAAAGGCTTCCGGCACCACTTCCCCCTTCCTCGCTTCTTAGGCTGCGGAATGAAGGTGGACCATCAGATACAACAGCAAAGTTGAGTGCAGGGGCAGCTTTGGTAGCTTCTTCTGTTTCCCATGAAACTCCTTCAACGTCCTTTGCAATGAACTTGATATTATTCTCCATGCTAACAGTCTTCTCCACAGGACTCATCGGTTCAATCTTTGCCATCTTTGTTTCAACAACCAAATCCTTATCATCAGTAACCTCATTGGTCACCGTTGACTGCAAAACTGTCTGTTCCTTCACATCTGAAATTTCCCCAAAACTAGTAACTTGAGAGGCGGAGACTTTCACGTCCAACTTGCTTTCCTCTAGAGGACACGAACGGATTTTTTGATCCGTCATTAGAATATTATCTGGCAAATCATAGACTGAGCTAGTGACAGAAGTAGTATCTAATTGATCTTTTACCCGGTTTTCCAGCTGCACTGCCGGTTCTTCTTCATCCTGCCTTGTTTCAAGCTTTCCAGTTTCCTCTTCTTGAACAGATGGATAAGATAAAGCATTTTGAACATCCATGTTCCATATTTGAGCGTCTACTATGTTACTGGCAGATTTCAGCGGCGTAGCTGCAAGCCAGAGCATCAGGCATAAGGATGAACAAGACGATACAAGCAAAGTGGTGTACTGAACAGAGGTGCCAGTCAAGGTGTTCCATCTCAACCCGCCAGCCCAGTCACTGTTCCCAAATACCATTTCCACAACGAAAACGACATTCAAACCCAGAAACCCCAAAAGCGTTGCAAGTGCAAGGAACTCGCCAACCTGTGAAATTTTATGGACACCCATTATTTGCCTGGACGAGGCAATGCGGAACAGCGGTATTACAGCGGACGGCAGCATCATCGCCACGAGGATCTGGGTGAATATAAGTAGCTGGTATATACCGTCTGCACCACATGTCCACACACAATAAAGGGCAGGGGCAACTGCAAGAATTCTGATTGTAGCACGATGAAGCCAACTAGGTATTTCTATCTTCAGGAAGTCATGCAGGACAACTTCTCCACCGAAAGCCCAAGCTAGTGCCGTAATTTGACTAGAGAAGAACAAGAGCATCAAAAAGACCAACGGAATGAGTGGACTTCCAAATACCTATGCTCAAGAATCAACAACCAAATAGTTAACAATCAGACTAGACTGTCTTCCAAAAAATGAAGTCTAGATTAATAAGAAAATTGTCAGAACAAACCTGCTCCATCAGTGACATGGCGTCCTGAAATGTCAGTACCACAAGGCCAGTACTGTGGAACACATTTGCTGCTGCATTCATCAGTACATAATTCACAACTGAAATTCCGCTGAAGACACTAAAGATGGCGAACAAATGGTCTTGACACAAGCTGCTCTTGTCGGCATCAGACGAAGATGTACTTCCCTGCAATAAAGCGTTCACTGCTTAGTAAGACTATAGTTGCTTTAATACAATTATTGAGATTTATAGGAAACGATAGAGGTTACCCCAGCAAAATAAGAATGGATATAAAAATTGTGAGGGGCGACGCTTGCTCCAAGAAGACCCATCAGTGCGAATGTGCTTTCTCCATTTAAGCGAGTTAACACCCCGTTCATAGAGAATGGGATCTCCGACTGACTCAGCAAGACACCAGAAACATATAGAAATAAAACCAGGCCTGCTGAGCAAATGGATACTGTATTTGCCATCCCATTTTCCTGTAAATTTTGGATGCGCATCAGCTATTTTCTAAATAAAGCTACTTCAAGAGCACGGAAAAGAAAAAAAAAGAAGAGAGGCCACTCATACAAGGAAAGAGGCGAAAACAGGGAAGAAAAATGCATCCATGGCGGCTAAAAACACTCCAGTGGATAAGTCTACCCCTAAGAGAAGGTTAAGTGCATGTGCAACACCCAAAACCTGTTCAATTGAGAAGCTCAAGTCAGAGGGATAGCAATCATTTTCGAATCAAACATAGAATTAACTTTAAGAACAGTAAAGATCGTAAGTAAGTACCATGGTAAGGTCGAGTAGAATTGCAGAGAATTCCGCCTGAACGCCCAAGAACATGCACGTCCACTTATCATATTCTTCATTGCAGATCTGTCCAAATAAAGAACATTAAAATGTTAGAGAAAGTGGGGGAACAAAATGGTATAATTGCAAAACTAAAATTCATTCCAAAAATAGAAAATCTGATGACCACAACAAATACCTGCGCTAAGTTTCTACCAGTTGCAACGCTTATTCGAGCCGCCACATACTGACACAAGATGGCAGCTAAATTCAAGAGCAGAGTAACAGCGACCAAGTCATACCCAAAACGGGCACCTCCTTCAATATTTGCAACCCATTTTCCAGGATCAATATATCCAACAGAGACCAAAAGGACAGGTAACAAAGCAGGAACCACTCGCTGGATGAGCCCTTGCTGAGGTCTCACCACATTCACAACAGTTTCAGCTTCCATCCTATATCTATCTGAAAATATAATAAATTACTCATAACACTACAAACTGATCAAATTTGTAGCTCACTGAAAAAGACTCACCGAGGTTATAAATAAATAACAGAGATTATGATCTTAAACCCACTTCCCCCTGCTTAAATTAGACTCCCTTTTACCGCTCTCGCTCATCCGTTGTTACTATCCGCTGGCTTTTACAGCTCTGTACAGTCTTTTACTTAAAATAACCGTAAGATTCCTTCTAGTAAACCAGTGGAGCTTCTTAAAAGTTAAAAGTCAAAAGGACTTGAATGACCTTTCAGAGGAGATCTAAATCGTTTTTATCTATTTTCCTTCAGCTAAGTCGGCCCAAATGGAGCCAAGACCAAAATACAGACTACTTCCATATGCTTAAACCATCCACAACAGCTTCAGAGCAGCTGAAAAAAAAAAGAAACGGTAAAATATCAGCCTAGAGTACTTAATCTTCAATCTTAGTAAGCTCAATTAATGGGGGGGGGAAATAGCGAATCCCAACACAAGTGAAGATAATAGAATCCGTAACGGTGACGAAAAGCTAAGATCGCGTATGATGTACGTATTTCAGATTTTCGATAAAGAAAAAAAAAAAAGGTCAACCACAAAAAAAAAAAAGATACACAAACAAAGTACAGTAGAAGGAAGATAGCTTCAATCTTGTCATTGATTTAACAAAAACAAAAACAAAAATAGATCAGAGGAACAATCCAACGTCTACAAATCCAGAATACGTAGGGTGAGATCTAGCTCGAATACATACGATCCATATACATATCCAAAACATAAGCTCCAATTTGCACAAAACCCCGTAACAAAATCCCAGAGAATAGTTAGGGTTTGTGTAAAAGAAGAGATAGTTTTACCTGTGAGAAATCGCCAAAGTTTGACCTAACTATCCAGTGAGCGAGTGAGAGAGAGATGTGTAGAAACGGATCTTCCAGAGAAAACTCTTTTACAGATAGAGAGAAAAGGAAAGAGAGAAATAGAGATCAGTTTCGTCCAAGAGAAAGATGAGATAAAAAAAAACAAAAATAAAGAGATCCAAAATCAAATTTATATAAAAATTTATATTTACATATATACACTCACATTATGGGTGCTTGTGCCACCTTCAAAGAGAGAGAGATATATATATTTTACTGTATACTACTTATAAAAAGACATTACAGAAAGTAATATTCTTTTTTCTTATGACAACAAAAAAAAACGCCTTTTTTATTAACTTCAGTGTTTGTTTACAAATATCTTAACCCGTTCTTTTATTTATTTATTTATACTCATCGTTAGTTTTTGATTCCAATATAAGTGGACAAGAGATTTATTAGTTTTAATATTCTGGTCCCCCCTTCATTGCATTGGTAATCAAAACTAATATAACATTTTCAAATTGCTATTTCAAATAATTATTTCTCGTAAGGGCCATCAGAAGAATGAATATATCAAATAACTATTTGCAAATGTTAGCTTCAGATATCTAGACCTTTGATTTCTTTTTTTGGTGTAACTTAGATATATATATTATAATCACTTTTAATAATAATTTATACTCTTTTGTTTATCTAGTTTTTATAAGCAAATCTAAAAGATATAAGTACTTTTGAAATCCATGCCAAACCAACTTAGTGGTCTGAAAATCTGGGCTTCTAGATATTACATTGTTCTCTTCGTCGACTTGTGGTCTTTCTGGTCCAATATCGACACACCTAAACGGCTACTAACTATCAATTTAGCTAGGTTACCATCTTCATAATTTCTCTGGAATAATATAACACAAATCTTATCTATAAAAAAGGTTAAGACTTAAAACAAAACAAAATAAAAGAAAGACTTTTGTCTGGCCATAAACTTTTTTTCATATATTTTAACATTTAAACCAAAAAAAAAAACTCTTTTCAGACCGATATATTTTGATGTTTGCATTAAATGGTTTAAAATTTTCAAAGAAATATATGATATTTGAAATTATAGAAATTTCTCAGTATGTACGCAAAATACTTCAAATTTGTTAACGAACTAAATTTATCCCCTCTCTCCTATTTTTTATTGCTATTTTCTAAAAACACAAGTTCAGATTTTTCATTAGGAAAAATTCATATTTTTGCTTATTTTGGTTATTTGGTAAATGAGTCTTTGGAATTAAATGTCGGAAATGCTCCATCTCATAAGTTATGAAAATTATAAATCTACCATTTTACATAAAACATAATAAAACTGCGAGTGGCCAATTATGTTATTTGACACAATATAAGAAATAAAATCGGTACATCGAAAAGTTATTTAGGGCATCTCCAACTCAACTCTATTTTTTACTCTAAAATAGAGTAAATGGGGATATATAGTAGAAAACACTCCAATCCTACTCCATTTCACACTCTATAATAGAGTTTACTCCATAAATGGAGTAATCTATTTTTTATTTGTTCATCACTCCATTATGGAGTGAAAAATGGAGTGGGATAAGAGCATTTTTACTCTATATTTTTTTTTACTACATTTTAAAAGAAAAAATAAAGTTTTATATTAGAGATGCTCGTAAGTTGTTGATTACGGAATAAAATGGAAGAATGAGTGAGAACTCGTTCATGAGGTGTGGAGTAATCTAGCTTACACAACTATATGCTAACATTTATAACCAGCTTTTCCGTTTTTTGGACTACAAAGATGTGGCTTGCCACTTATTACGAAAGAGAATAAAAAGAGAGAACATATATGGTTTCATTACAGAGGAAATTAAGACAAGTACAACTAAGTAAAAAATTTGACTTGTTTGGTGGATACAACATAGACCTGGTCTTCTCTGTTCTTGATTCGATACGCCTTTCAAGCCAAGATCTATTTTCTATATGGAGAGAGGAATGAATAGAAACATGGGGAGCCACACAAAAATTCCAACTCAACTAAGTAGTTACCTTGATAAGCAGGTTCGGAACCGTTTTGACTCGCTGCAAGGCTACATGAAGGGTGAATTCCATAAAACTTTAAGGGTTTGGTTTGCAAACCTATGATAGTTGACTAGGAATAGTTTTTATACGAAACACTATTCAGACAAAGTCGCATTATTTGATCTGAATAAATTAACATTTATTAAAAATGAAAAAAAGTACATATACATATAACCGGCAATTAAAACAGGATTGGACTGTATACTCCACGTAATACTAAAACTAGCATGTCTTGTTTTTGAAAATAATTTCATAAAACTCGCATGTCTTATATGGCTAGCTTTTATGTATAACTAGAATATATATCATAGATGTTAAGAAAACTAAACAAAACAAAAATTTATAGATATCGTACTCTCTTTTTTCTTTTGGAACACATATTTATACGTAGATACGTGTATATAACTAGTTGTACATATTTAATTATATTTTCCAACCATATTTGTTGTTATATATTATTTTCATGCTGTTAATTGTTTATAGTTGTTTTCTTTTTTGATAAATTTAATAGTTATTTTCTTGTCACTTGATTTAATCTACTGAAAATTAACTTTTAAATCTCATCAGTACTTGACCAAAAAAGAAATGTCAAAAGAAATCTCATCAGTAGTTTTTTTTTTTTTTGCTTAAACTTTGGTGAAGATAAGAGAAAATAACAAAAATATAGCTGACAAAAGAAAAAGTTACATATATATAGTTATATACTATATACTAACCTGAAGCAAACCAACGAAACAACAAATCAAACCAAAAACCAAAGAAGAATTTCTCCTACTTATAATCAAATATAATCCACGTGGTCTCAATCATCTCCAACATAAATGGAAGTACAGCTTGGGCTTTCGTTACTCATATACATTGTACCTTACTATATTTTCCCGATTGGATTTGTTTTCCGCTTTTCATTTAAGTTGTCCCTATATTTAACTTACTCATCACTATCCATGCTCTTGGCATATATGTGTATTGGATAGGAAGCAAATTTAAATACAAGAAACTAAAACTTTGCAGCAATGTAAAGAACATGGGCTCCTCCCAGTCCTATGTTTGATGTATATGTTCAATGAACCATACATAGAAACCACACTTGTTTTTACTTTTTATATATACTCACATCATACATAGCTTTAATGTTTGAAAAAAAAAAAAAACAACATGCAATTTCTAATGTCCAAAAAGAAAATTAATTGAAGATAGCTTCATGATTTGACCAATAAATCAACTTCAACTATTTTTAAAAGCCTCGGCGATGTTCTTTGGGCAGTTAAGTAAGCGTAAACACCCAAAAGGGAACAAAGCTACATGGTACAGATCATCCATCAGCTTAGAGAATCTTTCTTGTCTCTCTTTTTTAACTAGATCGTGATCTTTTGGGCTTTGTGTCCAAATAATTAATTATTATTAAGCTATTAATTAATTGGATTTTGCAACATAACCTTTCATTAATGTAAGAGGCAATTGAAATTATTTTCCTTCCTGGTTCACTGAATCTCTCTTGGGCTTGAAACACATGGTGGGTGGGTTCATAAGAAATAACGATATGATCATTTACTAATTAACCTCGAAACAAGATACGTCAGATACAAAACAAATTCGCTAGTTTCTCAATTAACCAGTTTGATTCAACGAATGTTTTAGGTTAAACAAGTGGCTTCTCTACATTTGTTGGTTTTCTTTCGTTTACTAGATTTTTTATTGTAAACTATAAGGATAAGATCGATTCAGGAGTATTTTTTACGCAGAGATATATAGATATCAAGTATTTTTTACGCAGAGATATATAGATATCAGTTTTAAACAATGTGTTATTTTGTTATGATTCTATTTATAGTTTACAGAAAAGTTGTACAGTTAAATATTAATACAAGATTTATGGAGCAAAATTACTGGTATCATTACAAGTGATTATAGTCTAACAGATTTGTTATGTTGATTGATTTTAAAGTTTATATTATCAACAAGTTGTTTAACTTGATAATGAGTTCAAGACTAATGAGTTCCACTCTATAAACGATCCTACATGAAAAAATGTATGTTACTTACCATCTACCAACAGTTGATCATCTTTTTTTCCTTCTTAACACATGCCAGAAAATTATATTTTGAACAACTAAGTGTTAATAGATATCAGGGTTACATTAACCTCAAGGAAAAATGCAGTTATTAGCCATATAGGCTAATACATTCCATTTGGGCCTGTGGACATTACATTAACTTGGGTTACTTAGCATGATAATCAGTTGTTTTATCGTTTTGCATGTGGGCGTTTAGAGACCCAAAGTGTGGTCAGATAATTCAACAAACTAGTATACTTTTTGACTGGTCAGTAGCGTAATTTCCTGATAATTTGACATACAAAACAAAAAAAACATGATTCAAAGACCAGTCATTTTCCCTTACCCAATAACATCACTATATATTTGCAATGTTTACTCCAATTAAATTAAATAAATAGACTATAAACGATTGTCTAAGCAACATGTTACTGCAAAGCGAGTTAGGTTCTTTTTAATTAGGAGGATTAAGTATATTAATATCGAAATATTACCGAGCCAATCTTCAAAAAGCAATACACAATATATTTATTTACACGTAGAATAATTGAGTTCTCAAGATGTAAAAACTCGGTTTTACGGAATTCATCTTTCATTTTGAGGGCTTATGGAACAACAAAGCAAATATGGGGTAGACATAATAAATGAGACTTGAACCCAAATATTGATAAAAAAAATTTCATGGTAAACGAACAAGTCAAAAATATTAGTTTAAAGCTCAGATATCAACTTCGAAGGTACTCCATATTATTAACAAACGTTACGCTGATCCCCCAACGTCTTTCAGGAAGTTGCTTAAAAGCCTTCTTCTTCGATTATATGTTTTCATTTTTTTCTTGATAATGTATTTTAGTCTGTTTTTCACATTAAATTTCTAATTTCTAGACCTAAACATGATTATTTTATACATCTGTTGAGAGATTCACCAACCTTTTATTTTCACTATGACACTATATAAGAAATTTGTACGCAGCCATCATATATCTTCAATACAATCTGTAAACTAAAAGCAATAAGAGATTTAATACAAAATACGATCTCATCATTGCATCTAAAACCGGAAATGAAGATAATCTGCAAACCGGGTTTTCTATTTATCTTCTTGTATTTTCTTGGGTTTCTTGGTGACTCTCCGGTGGATGCGGCGGTGAAGAAGTACCAATTCGATGTACGTTTTCAACTTCCTTGTGACAACAAACCCATACACAAATTAGATTAGTTTACTAAACCAATTTATATGTTTGAGCTATGTTAGAGAAGTAGGGTGGTTATGACTTATGAATAATGTTTCACAATTTGGAACAGGTTCAAATGAAGAACGTAAGCCGGTTATGCAATGCTAAACCGATTGTTACAGTTAACGGAATGTTCCCTGGACCAACGGTTTACGCAAGAGAAGGTGATCGAGTCGTCATCAACGTCACCAACCATGTACAATACAACTTGTCCATCCATTGGTAAAGTCTCCATTTCCCATGTCTCAAAAACCGGTTTAGTCATATTATATACGAACCAATATTAAACGGTTTGATTTTCTTATAGGCATGGGCTGAAACAATACCGGAACGGTTGGGCGGATGGTCCAGCTTACATAACTCAGTGTCCGATGCAAACCGGACAGAGTTATGTTTATGATTTCAACGTAACCGGACAACGTGGGACTCTCTGGTGGCACGCACACATTCTCTGGTTACGAGCCACTGTGTACGGAGCTATAGTCATCTTGCCTCAACCAGGAAAACCGTATCCTTTCCCACAACCATACCAAGAAACCAACATAATCCTCGGTTAGTGAATATAAACAAAACCGGTTTATCCTGGTCTGGTCTAATTAAATTTACCAAACTTTTTCTCTCATTTCCCGGTCTTTTTTAAAAATATAATTGTAGGAGAATGGTGGAACGGAGACGTCGAGACGGCGGTTAACCAAGCCAACAAGCTAGGCTCACCGCCTCCGATGTCTGATGCTCATACCATAAACGGAAAGCCTGGACCGCTCTTTCCATGTTCCGAGAAACGTAAAAAAAACTCAACCATATTAAACCGGTTTAAACCGGATATGATTTTTTTAGCTAAATAGTTTGTTTCTATACAGACACATTCGTAGTAGAAGTGGAAGCAGGCAAAACATACCTTCTAAGGATCATCAACGCAGCGCTAAACGACGAGCTGTTCTTCGGTATCGCGGGCCACAACATGACAGTGGTGGAGATCGATGCAGTCTACACTAAACCGTTCACAACAAAATTTATCCTCCTCGGACCAGGTCAAACCACAAACGTACTAATCAAAACCGACCGTTCACCAAACCGTTACTTCATGGCAGCTGGTCCATTCATGGACGCTCCAGTATCAATAGACAACAAAACCGTAACCGCGATTCTTCAATACAAAGGCGTACCAAACACAGTCATACCGATTCTACCAAAACTTCCTCTCCCTAACGACACTTCATACGCTTTGGACTATAACCAAAAGCTTAGAAGCCTCAACACACCAAACTTTCCAGCTCTTGTTCCATTAAAAGTCGACCGTAGATTGTTCTACACGATTGGTCTAGGCATCAACGCGTGTCCAACATGTGTGAACGGGACTAATCTAGCAGCTTCTATTAACAATATAACATTCGTTATGCCTAAAACTGCTCTCTTGAAAGCTCATTATTTCAACATCCCCGGAGTTTTCAGGACGGACTTTCCTGATAGACCGCCTAAATCGTTTAACTACACCGGTGTGCCACTCACGGCTAATCTCGGGACTTCTACAGGGACTAGACTGAGCCGAGTTAAGTTTAATACGACTATTGAGCTTGTTTTGCAAGATACTAATCTTTTAACCGTTGAGTCACATCCTTTCCATCTTCATGGATACAACTTCTTTGTGGTTGGAACTGGTGTTGGAAACTTTGACCCTAAGAAAGATCCGGCTAAGTTCAATCTTATTGACCCGCCTGAGAGAAATACTGTTGGAGTACCTACTGGTGGGTGGGCTGCCATTAGATTCAGAGCTGACAATCCAGGTATGATGAGTCAAAATGTTCATATATGATAAGGAGATCAACTGATTAATGCATATGTTGTGTTGTTGTAGGTGTTTGGTTTATGCATTGTCACTTAGAAGTCCACACAATGTGGGGTTTGAAGATGGCTTTTGTCGTTGAGAACGGGAACACACCTGAGCTTTCTGTTCTACCACCACCTAAAGACTATCCATCATGTTAAGATTCTGATTCTTTGTTCTTTGTATTTCTCTGTTGATTTGTGTGTTTGAGATTGTTTTATGTGGGGTTGCATCAACAACAACACCACAAAGTTTGCATAAGAAATGTAACTAAAGTGTTTTCCAATAAGTCAAAAACATAAGAACCTAGAAACCATCAAATCTCTCAGCGAGATGCTAAGAGAAAGATGAAAAACTTTTGAAGAACAAGAAAAAAACAGAGCTACTCTGTTTTTGATCATTGAGGTTATGATCTTTCTACCTAAGTGAATAAAAGAGAAGAGATGATATTATTACTAATAGTTCTTGCTAAATCACTGGCTTTGCTTGATCCTTGGGGTTGAAGCATTCTGGTTTCTTCTTGAAGTTAAGCTTCCTTGTAAAATTCTTCCAGCTTCTCTTGGACCTCACCAGCTTCTGCAGCTCTTGTTTCATGTTCATACACTCTTTCTCCAGCTCAGAAACCTTTTCTCTCACGTTCTCACCTCTAGGTTTTAACAAACAGCCACCATTATTGCCTCCACTTTGGTTCTCAGGGTTGTCTAGATTCTCAGAGACAAAGAACCAGCCTGATATAGATGTCCTAAGCCTAAGCTGCTCGAAAAACAGAACCTGAACAATCACACGAAGAGGCAGCCTCTCGTTCTGAGCCGCATGTGTGCTAGCTTCCAACGAGAGCTTCTGGCAGTTCATGAGTCTACATATCTGCTCTCTCTCTGAATCCGTAATCCACGCATGTGCCTTCAAGTACACGTCTATTGCGTGATAAACTCCATCATCTAATGGTCTTGCGTAATCAGGTATTGCAGCAGCGATGGCTTCGAACTTGGACAGCTTTAAGTTAACATCAGGTGCCACCTCAGCGAGATAACCGTCAACAAGAGTTGCTACTAATGTTGAAGGAGTAAGCAAATCGTCTCCTTCCTCTTCAATGCCTGCTTGTTCTGTTGAAGAGACAAACTGTTCGATCATTCTCAAGACGCATTCAACATCATAAAGTGTTTCAGAGTATCCCATGTTTGGTATAAGAAGATCCACTAGAGCAGCTTGGTCCAACTGATTACCAATCCTTGTCTCAAGATCCTCTCTACAGGATTGGCTTGTGTGAAGCAACATCGCTGTCTGAAGCAGCCTGAGGAGAAACTTAGTCGGGTTTACACCTTTCTTTCTCGGAAGCAACGTGACAATCTCTTCCAGAGCATCCCTTTGTTCGGCTTCAGAAGAACTCGGAGTCTCAATCACTTGCTCATCTACGCTCACTTGTCTGTTCATCAGAGGAACATGTTTCCTTGTATAATACATAACAGCCATTGCTATGTTCTCTAGCTTCATACCTCGTGATATAATAGCGTTAATGAGTCTTTTGAAGAGAGGTAAGGTAAGGAAAGAAGCATCATCGAACCACCAATCTTCACCGTTTGGTTGCAGCAATGAGATTCCGTTCCAAAGATTCGTCTCATCTTCATTCTTCTTCTTTCTTTCTCCAATGGGATAATTAAACAGGCTTGGATCAGCACAGGCCTTACTAGCTAAAGAATCAACACACCTTGAGATGATGTTGAGATCTTCAGCGTGTTCAGTGACTTCCTCACAGGTTTGAAGAGCTTTGATGGAGTCAGTCCAGTTGTTAAAGACTTCGTTGAGGAAAGTCTCTGTCATAGCGACAAGATTCCCTTCTCCGTAGTTATCAGTCATCTCGAGATACTCAGCTGCGCATCTGAGGGTGACGACGTTGAATGCGGTTAGCTCGATTTTGACACCGTAGCAGAATTTTGTTATGAGTTCGAATGTTTTGCCGCCTCCTGGTATCTCGTCTAGAGTCAGAACACAGGATGGTCCGTCTTCTGTTGAAGACTCTTCGATTAGCCTCTCGAGAAGCCCACTTCTAGAGAGCAGTGGAAACTATACACCACAAAACAAGACACATAAGAAACAGCTTAGCTAATCATCAAGCAAAAAACAGAGTATCTTCAAGAACAAGAAAAAAAAACAGAGCTACTCTGTTATACATTATATAAATTACATCAAAATTTAAAACTACAAAGGAGGGAAAGATGAAGTTTTTACCTTGTGAAGATGAAACTTCATGTCTCCAACTTCAATGGTAACATCACTCACGAGTCCTGTTGTGCAAAGCCTGCAAAACAAGAGAAGCTATATAATGCATAATGAAGAACCCATCTTGATTTCAACATAAAGACGAAAGCTTTACGAGAAACAGAGAGAAACCCATCTCAAATTCAGAACTAAAACGTGGAAATGCAGTACCAGGTTTGGCCTTCGCGGTGGAAAGCTTCAGATTTGGAGCCAAGTCTCATGAACGCCATTTTTGGAAGAAGAAGATCAATCTCAGAGACTTCTGTGTTGGTAATGATTTATAGTAGTAACAACAGAGAGGAGAGAGAGTAGGAGACAGGATTTTTCGGAGAATGATCATCATCTATATTTAGCAGATTGTATACAGAGAGAGAACGAGACTGTAGCAGAAGAGTGAGGAGAAAAGTGTGGTCTTTGGACTCAGAATTTTTCGCCTCTTGAAAACTTCAATAAACCGGTATTTAATTTTCCCCGGCTGGTCCGGTTCAACAGTTTTCGGTTTAATATTTATTCAGCTGTGTTCATTGATAGAGTTTGGTTTTGAAGACATATATAGTTCACAACGATCGTACTTTCGTTTGTGGAGTACAATAAGATCTTTTGTAAAATGCTAATAATAGGATTTTAAAAATACTTTTTAAAGTTCCTTTCTGTATATATAAAGTACTTGTTGGAGTACAAAATCTATGTTGTTTTGGTCCATATTTTATGTAGAAAATATTAGGCAAGAACTCTTCATCACCTAACTTAGCTTTCAATTTCTCTACCACAAATAAAGAGAAAATCATATTCAAAAATGTATTCAGTTGTTGGAATTTTATGTGGGAATTTCTTGGATTGCACGCAAAGTTTTAATTTTATGAATATTATTAAACTGAGACGTATTGCAGCATAACATTACTGAATTAATTGATCACATATTAGTAGAGTTTTACTACACCATAGTTTAAGTAAGCAGCTTCTTGACGGGCCAATGACTGAGGTTCAATATGCACACTTAGTGAGCTTTTGAAAATAAATATGGCCTTTGTCCACACATAAAATTGATGCAATTCGTATACTTTGGGCTCGTGAATGGGTAGGCCTTGCAACTAAAATATAAATCAACTGTAAGGAGATGAAATTATTTTAGGAAATTAGCTATCTTATTTTTGGTCAATGGTAGATAAGTTCTATTTTAAAAAGAAGATCAAGTTAGATGAGAATCTTATTTGCTAAATATTGATATGTTAATATAAAATAAAAAGATATACTACCATAGTCAGCATAGTAATCTACTAGTATTTATTATGATTGCTTATACTTGTTGGGTTGGGTGAACCAAGAGATATCCTTAGTGGCAAAGTATATTTTTCGTAATTAAATAGGAAAAAATCTGGTAGAAGAAAAGTAAATATATAAAAAAAAAAGAAAAAGGAAAGATATAATTTGAGTTTTGGCAGTGAAGCAAAGGTCATCAATGACCTAATCCATCCAACGAAGGATGCTTCTAGTTGAGTCGGTCTTTGCGAAACGAACGATACTAAACATATACACGTGTAAAATGAATTAAATTTCAAGAGATTTTCTCAAATTGATATTTTAACATTTTTTTTTAACAGCCTCGGCTATATAAGAAAACCTTGTTGCGACAGATCTAAAATCATCCCTTCATCTTTCTCTAAAGATTAAACATCAAAACTCTCTCACAGAAAAAACCCTAAATCGCTCTTACGTTTCCCTCTCTTTTCAAGGTATATTCATCATCTAATGCTTTTGATCTTTCCTCTCGTATTCTGTTTTGATTAAGATTATTGAATCCTTGGATTATTGATTCGGAAAATTATTTGTTAGTTTCGTCGATTTAGCTTCTTGGTATGTGAACGTCGATGATTAAGATCTCAGTCTGTAGTTTCTTCTGTGATTCGCCTGATCTAATTCGATTTAGGGTTTTTTTATTACTTGTTACCTAGATACGTTTATCAGCTGTGATTTGTGATAGTATTAGATTTAGGATAGTATACGATTCTTATCTTGGCTGATCGATTAATACTTGTTTTCTTGTTTGCAGATGCAAATTTTCGTGAAAACTCTCACCGGCAAGACCATAACTCTCGAGGTAGAGAGCTCTGACACCATCGATAACGTCAAGGCCAAGATCCAAGACAAGGAAGGTATTCCTCCGGACCAGCAGAGGCTTATCTTCGCCGGTAAACAGCTTGAGGATGGAAGGACTTTGGCGGATTACAACATCCAGAAGGAGTCAACTCTCCATCTCGTTCTCAGGTTAAGAGGTGGTATGCAGATCTTCGTCAAGACTTTGACTGGAAAGACCATCACCCTCGAGGTTGAGAGCTCAGACACTATTGACAATGTCAAGGCTAAGATTCAGGATAAAGAAGGTATCCCTCCGGACCAGCAGAGACTTATCTTTGCTGGTAAACAGCTAGAGGATGGAAGGACTCTTGCTGACTATAACATCCAGAAGGAGTCTACGCTTCATCTTGTCCTACGTCTTCGTGGTGGTATGCAGATATTTGTCAAGACTTTGACTGGTAAAACAATTACTTTGGAGGTTGAGAGCTCAGACACCATCGATAATGTCAAAGCTAAGATCCAGGATAAAGAGGGAATCCCACCGGACCAGCAGAGGCTTATCTTTGCCGGCAAGCAGCTTGAAGATGGACGCACACTCGCTGACTACAATATCCAGAAAGAGTCCACACTCCATTTGGTGCTTCGTCTCAGAGGTGTATGCAGATTTTTGTGAAGACCCTCACCGGCAAAACCATCACTTTGGAGGTTGAGAGTTCTGATACTATTGATAACGTCAAGGCAAAGATTCAAGACAAGGAAGGGATCCCACCAGACCAGCAGAGACTTATCTTTGCCGGGAAGCAGCTTGAAGACGGACGCACTCTTGCGGATTACAATATCCAAAAGGAGTCTACGCTCCATCTTGTGCTTCGTCTAAGAGGTGGTATGCAGATTTTCGTCAAGACCCTCACCGGCAAAACCATTACTTTGGAGGTTGAGAGCTCTGACACGATTGATAACGTCAAGGCAAAGATCCAGGACAAGGAAGGCATCCCTCCGGACCAGCAAAGACTTATCTTCGCTGGGAAACAGCTAGAGGATGGACGCACTCTTGCGGATTACAACATCCAAAAGGAGTCTACGCTCCATCTTGTACTACGTCTCCGTGGTGGTATGCAAATCTTCGTGAAGACCCTTACCGGTAAAACCATTACTCTTGAGGTGGAGAGTTCTGACACAATTGACAACGTCAAGGCAAAGATTCAGGACAAGGAGGGGATCCCACCAGATCAGCAGAGACTCATCTTCGCTGGGAAACAGCTTGAGGATGGTCGCACGCTTGCGGATTACAATATTCAGAAGGAATCTACTCTTCACCTTGTGTTGCGTCTTCGTGGTGGTATGCAAATCTTTGTGAAGACTTTGACAGGCAAGACTATTACCTTGGAAGTTGAGAGCTCAGACACAATAGACAACGTGAAGGCTAAGATTCAGGACAAGGAAGGGATCCCTCCGGACCAGCAGAGACTCATCTTCGCTGGTAAACAGCTCGAGGATGGTAGGACTCTGGCCGATTACAACATTCAGAAGGAGTCGACTCTTCACTTGGTTCTCCGTCTTCGTGGTGGAAGCTTCTGAGCTTTGTGATCTGTGTGGTCAAAAGTGGTGTTCTTTGAGCTTCGTTAATGCACTTGGGAGGTGATCTCTGTTTGCTTCTGCAAAAAAATGGATCGTCTTGTTGTTTCATTTATGTTCTATTTTCTTTTCGTTGTGAACCTTGGGCTCGTAATGGCCCCTTTATGTTTGAAGTTTAAATAATAATCCAAGTGCTTTATCAACTTGTTTACCATTAGTTGCGACGCCTTGTCTCTGATACGTTTATTGTTGACGAAGAGAGATCCAGAGATTTTCTTGAAATCGCTGACACATGCGTGGTTAATAGGGTGTGTTTCAGCTCATATGGTGAAAGTTAATATGAGTTATTAAACAGCTACAGTAATTGAAAACTATTATGTTTGCCAAATAGCAAAGAAAAATCTTAGACGAGTACAGCAAAGACAGAAAAATCAACAGAGGTTGTTTCATAGATTTCTTCGACGAGTACCTCAAAAGATACAAACATTTATTATTTTATTATTGTATTTTGTTTCATTATATGTCAATTCTTAATGCTTACTTAGTCTTAGGTTAACATCACCTAATTGGCGTGTGTCATACCACTTACTTCGTTGTCCAGCCAATATTTTTACTTGGAAACCATTAATATAGTCCTAAGTCCTAACATAACTAATAAACATATACAAATTTAGAACATAACTCAATGAACTTTTGTAGACTGTATAAATATTGCAGTAGTCCAAAACCAATGTCTCCTCTCATACCAAAGAAACTAAGGGCGCCGCTTGTTTACTACTTGACTGCTACTCTGTATGCGGACAGTGAGACTGCCACTTCTCTACATTCAGCACATTCCCAAACACTATTCGATTTTGATTGCTCATTTTTTATTCTAACAGACCACTGTTTTCTCAACGTCTTGACTGTTTCCTTTGTGCTAGTGCGTAGTGTTTATAAGTCAAGTTGTGCATCCATTTAATATCATAACTCTCGAGAGGACTTTTATCACACAGTTTTGCGTTTGCTGAGTGGTTAGTTAGAAATTTAAAATTTTCTGTTTTCAATATAAACATACCAGGTAGGTTCTAAGTAGTGTAATTGCGTTAAAAACCAGTCGACTCGTTTTGTCAAAACTTAGGAAGCAAGTAACGCGTTTTAACGATAGAAAAGGAATATTGCAACTTTTTGACAAAACCAAAAAAGGGGACAAAATACTTTGGTGATTGGTGCAGAAAGAAAATGCTGTCTAATCTTGAACTCTTGTTGCAAAAGCATATCACAGAGTGGGAGACACAGAAATAGATATTGCAATAATTTTCAATGAATGTATCATTATTACTCTTTTACTTAACAAATATTAAGAATAGAAACACCACTTCAGAGTTGTCCAAAAAAAAACACCACTTCAACTTTTCTTTAATACAGTATGTAACTGTGTGTTGTTTCTCTTCTGAAAATGTATAAAAACACTCATCATTTCTAGCTGATGAGTTTTGTGGCCTATTGTTCATGTATGTTATATGGTTCAAAATCGCGACCTTCAAAGACGTGACACTTGGTATATGACACATTTAAGGTTTAAACATTTTTTTAAAAAAAACTTAGGTTTTAAAATCTTGATTAGATGTTTTGTGGAGGTTTTTAGTTAAAATGTTGGATTGACTAACCCGGTTAATATTTGTTGGTTGGTTTGTGGAAAACTTTAAAACTTAATATGTTGAATAAACTCTGAGTTCAGAATTTTTATCTAACAATACATTTCCTTAGTTCAATTCCTTTTATATGAATCTGTAACATCCATAAAAAAAAACTTTAACACCCGCTTTCTTTATTTGATTTGATTCAGTAAAGTAACCAAATAAATATATTTTTTTGATCAAACTATAACCAAATAAATAAATATTGTAAATATTACTATAGTATTGCTTTCGTTGTTTTTTCCCAATAACTTATTGCATTTTATTATTTTTATTGATGAATATATCTGTAAATATACAAGGAGCGCAAAAATATAAAACTTTCATTTATGGCATAGGATGATCAAAACTCCACAAAATTTTGAAACAAGATGAAATATTATGTAATAAAGGATATCGAAAAATTCTCCTTCGGACCGAAACTATAACCGATCCTAATATCTTAGTATATAGCTATATATTACTAACTATTATTGAAGTTGTATGATTAATTATTACTAATCCTGAAACCCAATCTTCTCCCAAATCGCGTTCCTCAACAGCCTTAGATTCCTCCCCTTACCTGTTCCACCAATCCCTTCGTGCACCGTGAACGAAGATCCTCCTCTCCGCCGCGCTAAATATTCGTGCGGCGGAATCATTCTTCTTCCTCCCGTTGCTGTCGTGTCACCGTCTTCATCGTCCTCGTCATCTTCGTCACTGTCGTCGTCTGGTATCATCACAGGGCTCTTATACTCACTCTTCAGAATCTTCGACCAATCGGGGATGTTAACCGGAGTCGAACCGGTCTTTGCTGTTTCCCGGTTATCGAAACCGGAGGAATCTGCGACTTTCGCCGATTTTCTACGCAGTCGCGAGATTGATATCGATCTCTTGGCTTCGAATGAACTCGGCTTCTGATGATCGCCGAAACTATGAATATCAGATTCGTCGAATTCAAAGACATTCTTGTCGTTTTCGGACATAACTGGTTCGGGTAGTGGATAGATGTTTTTTTTAGGCTTGGCAAAAAAATGCTTCATTGAGGCCATTGAAACTCAGAGGTCTTTTGGGTTTTGTGATCTGCTTGTTGCCGACGACTCTTAAATGGGGTTTTTGTTAATTGAAGGAGTTGAGATCATTTTATAGAGAGAGACGTGGTGAAGAAGATAAGCCCATTGGTTAAGTGAGTTACGACTTATTACAAGTAAACGACAAAGAGAGAGAAAAAGTGTTCGGGTGTGGCCAGTCTCACGTTCTTATCGTGAAGCTCTTTTACCTCCTGATTCTCACATTCTAGTCCACTGTTTTCCTCTTTTTAATAAAAGGGATATGTGATTTAAATTATGAATTTAATGGAATTATACGTTTTCATTATTATTTAACTTTATAGATTACCATTAAATTTATTGCTGTTTGATGCATTTCATAAAACTTGATATTGAGAATTAAATGCTGTTAGATATGGAATTTGTTGATATACAGTTGGTTATTAACAATCTTCTAAAATTCAATTTAAATTAAAGTGGTGCTGATACTGATTTGATGTAAATTTATTTTAAATTCATTTTCTGATCAGATTTTTAAAGTTATTTTTAAGATTTGAATCCCACTATTGTTTTAGCTTAACACTGCTTGATACAAAAACATAATATGCACCTTTTGAAAAAGCTATTATTGTTTAATTGTACCGAACCAAACCTAGCTAGTTTATCTAATCATTTAATTGAATTAAATTAACCAGTAATCTACAAAGGGGAAGGAAAAAAATCTATTTGTCATTCTTCCTCATTTCGCGTCGACTTCACATTATCTCTGATCATCGATCTTTCGCATCAGTCAAAAGATTTGTGTTGATGTAAACTACCCTAGTTTATCTCTTTCAATTGTTACAAACTTCACTCAGATTGTTTATGCCGGATATAATTGCATTCTTAATTTCTTATTTAGATTAAGGATCACAATGTTCACTGCATCGATTAGAAGCTCTAATCTGTGTGCTTAGCTGATTATATGATCTGTTGTGATGTTTAGGAGATGACTACAGCTACGTACCCGTCTCCTCCTCAGTATTACAGACTCTATAAAGATTACTCTGAAAACCCTAAATAGAGAACTACACTTACATATACAGGAGCTTGTTGATGTTCTCGTTGAGAGGCCTTCACAATATGCCAAGATAATTGGTAACATGTCTTCTTTCTTCAAGAATTTGCATAACCTTCTCAATTCCCTGAGTCCTCATAGTTCATCATTTTTTGGTATTTAATTGTTTTATTTTTCATCTCTTTTTGTTCAGGCGAGAGCAACGCTTATTCACGTTATGGAACTTCAAATTCAACAGCGTAAGCAAGCTGTGGAGGACATTAATAGGTCTGTAATACTGTCTTAATTTTACCAATATATACACTAGTCTTTGAAAACTTGTAAATAATTTTTATGTGTTGTGGAGATGAGAAATAAACACAATTAAATGATTAATTGGTAATAGTGCTGTTTTTGGTTATGTGCAGGAGGAGAGAAGAGGTACAGCGATTTCGAAAGGATGCTTTCATCAGTTTAGATGGACAATAGAGTTTTTTTAGCCATTTTATGCCAAACCTATCTCTGATTGTGACCCGCTAAGCTTAACTACTAAGGTGCTGTTCGTTTGCTCACTCAAGTGATCCATCTGGGTGAAGATGCAAATCAATGTTCGTTTTGTACATTAAAATGTTACATCCAGATGGATCACCCAACTGAATTTCTTAAAACTCATCTCAAATTCTCACCCAAATGAGGATGAGTCTTGATAACGCATCTGGATGCAGATGCATCTAATTCAGTCCAAAATAA